ACCCAAGAATTAAACTTGTCAGGGTAACCCAACCATTTTACATAATACTCTTTACGTTTATTACGCATGCGTGATCTTATTACTTTTTCTACTCTATAATAGTCACTGTCTACTTTGTTGACTTTCTGAAGTTCCTGCTCGTAAAATGTTCCTTCCAGTTCTTCACCGTCATAATCTGCAATCTTGTAAACAGGCGGTCGTCGAGGCACGCGTTTCGTTACCGTGAACACTTCTTCAGTCCAATTGGGCAAGTATCCTTTCTTAAATGTTCGCTTTGCTTTGCTAATCCGGACTTGGTCCCCAATGCTAAACTTAAACTGGATTGATTTTTTCGACTCCTTCCCGTAGAGTGTTTGCCACACAATATTCTCGTTACTTTTATTCACATCTACCGGTCTCATACCAATACTACGATGTCGAGAACGATTATAAGATTTGACCAGTTTCTGGAGAATGTCCACGTACTTGAGCGTATTGTTCGCTGTAAAGTATTTCCACATTTTCGTCTTGAGCGTACGATTAAACCTTTCAACAATCGATGCCTTGGTTTCGTTGTACGTCGTAAAAAATCGAATGCCATGTTTCTTCAAAAAGGTTTGAAACTGTCTATTGATAAACTCCGTCCCCTTATCAGTGTGAAACATTTTCGGTTTACGGCCTTTCTTGATTATTTTCTCAAAGGCTTTGACAAGATTGTTCCCAGTTTTTGCTTTTATCGCTTCAACCCACGCATATTTGCTGAGTACATCAATAACAGTTAAAACGTACTTGTACCCATTATTCTGTTGACTTAATGAATCCATAATGACTAAGTCTGCCTCCCACTCATCATCCATGGCTCCAACTATAACACGGTTACGCCTGAAGCGATATCTGACAGGTTTATGCAATGAATAGGTATCTTGCTTTTGTAACCACTGGCGTATTTTATTCCGCGATATCTCATACTTCCCTGCGTTTTTCACGGCGCGATAAATGGAATCTACGCCACCAAAACTTGCGGGGCTTTCTGGATCGTAATAGATCTGGCTTAGATATTTCTCCGCCATCGATGTCCGAGGCTTGAATTACAATTTTTCCACCACAGCAAGCAGAAATACAGCGTACTTTTCGAAAAATGTTTCGAAGAGAGATTTGTGGTAAACCTTTACAGCAAGGCATCCTTACTCTTCAGAGGTTTGAACAAAATGAAACAGCCAGTAATTATAGACTGATATATAAAGCTATCAGTGTGAGTGTTATTAAAACCAGACGTTTACTTCGTTTATGTTTGGGAATAGTAAAAATTCGACATGCCTCGATGGTTTTTTGTACATTGTGACGAATAGATTCCTCGCTATCATTTTGCATACAAACTAAAGCTAAGTAGGCAATAATACAACCAAAGTTTGTTACATTGATCTCTCTGTAGATTTGGTCAAGGTCTAGACCATGAGCATTCACTGCACGATATAGATCCCGATGGCGGTCGAGAATTGTATTTATATGAAACGATAAAGCTTGCTTATCAATATCAATTTCATTTCGTTTCAACTCATCAAAAATTATGTCTATGTTATCCATGATACTATCACCACAACGATTGAACAACAAATGAGACACACAGCATTTATTTCAGTAAATATATGCAAATTTACATTAATTAACTAGCAACGTATTATTATTACAAGAGGTCTATTTTATCAAGTTCACTTGTTAAACCAAATCTACGAAATTCATCATAGGCCTCCTTAGTGTTAGATTTAAAACTATTAAACGTCTCTCCTGTTTCTTCAATCATGTACTGGTATTGTAGTGGATTACTGAAGAGCACGATGCCCGTGTTGGTCACCCGAGGGCCTTGTTGCTTCCATTCGAAGAAACCACAAGAGTCGTCCTTCGGACAGCAGTAAAACAGACGGTTTTGATTCGGACCATCTTTCTTGACTTTTCGTTCACAGCACACCATTCCATGTTGACATAACGGTCTTGGACATTCGAACACCTCTCCCCATTGCCAGAACTTGCAGGGATTCTTTCGCTCAGAACATACGAAGAAGGGTCGTCCGTAGTTATCTTTCATTGTTGTCTTTGACCACACATAACTTGGCATATTTCTGATGTGTAGGACATACGGGATGTATAGAACCACTTGCACGAAACGCAGCTACAGCTCTCGTATACATGTAACAATTTTCGTCCGGGCAAAAGAACTCACAGCTTGGTTTTTCCCCACAAAACCAAAATGTACCATTGTTTGTAGTTGTAGAGGCAGCAGCTTTTCCGTGTAGACACTCCATGACTGATGTGGAACTAATGCAAAACTATGCTTGTTACAAGACGCTTGTCGATTTTATACAGACGCTCGTTAAATCAAACAACCAATCATAGTAAGCCAACATTAATCCCTCCATTGTACCACACACGTGGAGAGACGCTAAAAAATGCGTAGTCAGCAAGTTTCACCCGATCGCGCTTAAACCTGCCCGCGTGACGTCATTGCATATAATTATGACGTATGTTAATGAGTGACGTCACTACGCACCCTCATTTGTGCGGCCCCCCTTAATTACCTGCATATATAATGTGCGGCCCCCTTGCATAGTAATTACCTGCATATATAATGATGCGGCCCCCTTGCGGCCCCCTGCGGCCCCCTAAAAATCCGGCCCGATCGGCCCCTATATTACTACTCATGTTTGAGAGTGGTAATAATATAAATTTTGTCATTATTTATCAAACTGTGAATTGCGATTTTTACGTATAACGTATTAAACACCGAAATATTCCCGTTTTAGTTAATTGTATGCTGGTTTTATATGGATAATTTCACATTAGAATATTTGAAAATGGCTTTAATGTTATAAAATAATACAAAATATAACAAAATCATGACGAAATGTCGAAAATGTTTAGCCTGTTTAGTATATTAATGTACTGAAATATGATTTAAAAAAGACAAATATATGGCATACTATACGATCAACCACAGTTTGGATTAACTATGGATCAACTCACGTTAAAAACATGTGAACCGAAGCCAAGATTGCATAATTCCATAATTATATCTAGCAGTGGCCTGTGCCTAGCAACGGTTGCTGTGCCTAGCAATTTGCTACAGCGTCTGTCGAAAGATTTTACCGGATGTGCCCACAGTTTCACTCCCCTCTATTTCTTATTCTAAGTTTTCGCGCGTATTTACAAAACCGTTACATGCGATACAATGTACAGCGGACGACCATGTAAAAATACGAAAATATAAAGAAATTGTTGGCTTGTTTACGAATTTAAAAACAGTGTTTTAGTGTTTATATGCAAATTAGCGAACCAAAGAAGACAAAACTACCTATTCAGAGATTTTACGGCCATATACAGGTACGAAAGTCTCGAAAACAATACTGCTGTGCTCCCTTGCTCACGCCGTGGAAATACATAAATCACGAGCTCACGTGGTCGCAGCACTAAAGATCTGTGTGTCAATTTACCCATTTCGGTAAATATAATTCGGAATTTCATAGGAATGTGGATACTGAGGAAAAACACATACTGCAATATGTTCATTTCATTGTAATCAAACACAATTTTATTGCTAATTTTATTGAGTTTTGCTTTATTTGTTAAAGTAATGAATTTTTTTAAATAATGAAAATTTTGGGCGGTAGCTTTTGAGGATACGGGCGGTGGACCTCTCTCGTGGCTTACATGAAATTTCTAGTGAGGGAAAAGTGAGCGTGCAAGGAGTGATGGGAAGAGCTAAATAAAGGAAGCCTCTGCTAGTTAATGCAATCAATATGGCGTCGTATATAATCGTTTGGAGTTCGGTTCGATCAACCGTCGGGGGTGTTAAAACATGTTTTCCACTTTCCTTTTCAGGCCTACGTGAGTCTCCTGGAGTGGATCCAATATCAATATCTTCTTCTGTCCATTTGAACCAAAAAATATTGATGAATATAAATGAATATAAATGAATATAAATGAATATAAATGGCTATGAGCTATTTAATTATAAATATCCTCTAAATTGCAACATTTCTTTATAAAAATGACTCTACTGAACTTCGATACTCAGATAATGAAGATCTATTTCAATTTCTTCCACATTTCTGTCGATTTCAATTTTAAAAAAGGTCAAACAACTAGTTTGGTTCAAAAACCATACTTCGTTGCATTATCTGGCAGAGCCTTCCCGTCTTCATTTCAATCTTCCCATCACACCGCGCGCGCTCACTTTTATTCAGGAAACTTCATGTAAGTTATTTGTAAATACTTAAGGAGACTCTGCAGAGGAGAGAGGGCGGTGGACGCAAGTCTATGACTTTCATTCTCATGACCTTACTACGCATGCATAAATTCACTTCGCGCGAAGTTATTCGCATTTCCCAGATAAACAGGGCTCGTGGAATCAGGCATTAACAACAATTAAAATAACGAAATATAAGACTAGTTTGGGGTTGAAATAAGCGGGCGCCTTTAGGTTGCCAATTGCGACCAAATTTTGATCTGGCGACCAAATATTTAACAAAAGTAGCCCTCGTGGCGAATGAGAAAAAAATTAAAATGTTAAAGTGTTCTAAAGCCTAAAATACATCCCAATATCTCGAGTGTGGGGCTCAAATCCCGATTTTCACCCACATACCTTACATTGGCTGATTGACATCATCTTAGAATAAAATCTAGACTGGAAATTTCCATCTGCCAAACCATTCAAGGAGAACAGTACAGCACAATGTTCTACACAAACACAATTACTTCAAACTATGCTTACCATGGACAAAAAATTGCTTGGGAACATATGTGCCTCCTACCAATGCTCTGTAAACATCATCAGCAAGCTTTGCAATGTCCCGAGGTTCACGTCCATAAATTTTATCAAGGCTTTTCTCTTTCCATGTCAAATCAAAATGCACACTCCCACTGCTAAAAACATTTATATAGAAATATACTTAGAAGATTTTTTTACTAACTCTCTATTTTTTCATTTGAGTTTCTATTTGTTTATGTCTGTCCGTCTGTGGTTTTTGCCTGTCAGCATAATAAAATACGCAGGGACGTAGCGAAGCATCTGCAGTGGGGGGGGGGGGGGGTTACATCCTCCGATCGCTACGTCCCTGAATACACGTATTAATACGAAAATTTGTGGGATGATGGGCACTGCCCAAGGACAAATTGGATTTTGATTAAATTTGGATAAGAATTGAATGCAAAATTAGGAAAGCTGTCTGTACTAGTCTAGGTAGTACCAATGTGAAAATGTTGTGCTGAGTGGTTAACCATATTACTACCTTAAAAAACAAGCAGAAACTCGACGTTTCGAGCGAAGGCCCTTCGTCAAGAGTTAGTAGCGCTAACTACCGCTACTAACTCTTGACGAAGGGCCTTCGCTCGAAACGTCGAGTTTCGATTCTGCTTATTTTTTAAGTAGTAATATAACCACTCAGCACAAAATTAGGAAAGGTTTGTCTTACTTTCCCAGGCAGGGTAAAGTAAATGTGAATGTGAATGTGTATTATTAGCCCATTATACAATTTATGCATGATGCATAACTTAAATGATTGGAAAAGATATATGCAATCTCCGAGTAGTTATCCCCTAATTTCTATATATTTAATTTTGCTTGGACACGATATATTATCAAGGGTGGGTAGTGGCAAAGTAGTTCAAAACAGTATTATAGCTGCAGCGAACCACATTTTTTCATTAGCCAAGTAATGATTAGTTTTCAAGTAACAATTGCTATTCGCAGCTACTTTTTGTATTTCTCGTCAATTATCCTTTCTCACGCCGACATTTTTGGGTGGTTTCAGCCGAAGTCTGCGCGATTAGGTCCACATAACAGCGACTTTTTATAATTTTTGGACGAATGATGGCAAATTTGCTTTGTAAATGGTTAGTCTATTTTTAAAAATTGCTTTTCACATTGTTTTAATTGTCTGCATTGGTTAACGAAAATTAGATGCCACCCAAAAATGGCGGATATTCGTCATCGTAGAAAGGCTAATTGCAAGGACGCGTGTAAACAAAATATGGTGATGCCAGAGTGTGCAAAGTTTTTGCCCTCTTAATCCACCGCCAAGAACAGCAGAGTTTGATAAGGCTTTCTTGCATTGCCAGTGGTCAGTGTCCCCATCTTGTTCTAACATTGTAACAGTGGGAATAGTTATGAATAATAACCAGCAATTAGCTATTTGAGTTCTCCAATACCTGAATCGGGTGTGCTAAAAAATGCGCCATCCCTCAAGACAACCTATACGTACACAAGTCTGTGTATAGATGAAGTTGAACTTCGCAGATACTTCATCGTGACAAATAATCCACCTGATTGCCGCATTCATGTCACTTTCAGTGTTTGACATACAGTTGAATTAGTAGACAGACGACCGTTCCGTTTTGCCCAAATTTGCGGCATAATTTCCAATATTCGATCGCTAAGCTATGCTAAAGAGCAGGGAATTCTGTTTACTTTGGATTTATTGTAGTATAACGTTTACACGATTTTAGCTCTTTACGTTTTTTATCACTTTTCCCCATTCGAAAGAGAAATTAGAGGAACATTGCAAACGTGGGTAGCAGGATAATTTGTTGTAGCGAAGAAGCGAAATGCTCGCTACATTTTTGTAAACAGTACTATGGCGAACTACACTTTTGTCAAGTAGCAGTAGTTGAGCTGACTACATTTTTTTGAAGTTGCTGTAGCAAACTAGAAAAAATTGTAGGCAACCCACCCTTCCATATTATACTTTGCGCGCGTGTAAAGGTCGAAAGCTTTAAAGTTCATGCAGATGCCAGATCAAAATTGTAAAATAATATTTTAACCTGATTATGGAGTAAACATCGAAACGTTTGTTTTATTATATTTAAAATTTGACATAGATATTAGATACAGTAGCTTAATAATTATGCAAGTGCCCTTTCCCACAACACATATGCCAATTGGAAATCAACCACGCCGTTATTGGATGGATAGGAATCAACGTCTAACCACAGTGGTCTAACGTTTGAAGCAAATGCGTAGGTCGTTATCATTTTTGTAGCTATTTTCAGCAGAAACGTTAACACCTACGGTACGTACCTAAAAAACAATTAACTTTGTTCATGCTCAGATATAGACGTTTGTGTACTGTTGTCGCATAAAAATAAAAATAATAGTATCCCACAAGCAGAACAACAAAATCCATTACCACAGCTAGAAAGAGCACGTTAAAATTAGTAAAATTGCAAAGTTTGGTTGGGAAATGTTGTAAAATGAGGAAAATATAGCCCTACGAAATTTGCAAATTTTGTATTAATTTGTATTATACGCACTTGAAAATTCAGCACTTTCGGCCCAAATATAGACTATAGATGGCATTCCGAGACTGCATATACCTCTGGCAGCGAATTAAGTCATGCATCATGCATAAATTATACAATGGGTAATTATTAAGCGTTCAGTTTACTCTGCCTTTGCAAAGCAAGACAAACGTTTGCTAATTTCTCATCCAATTTCCATCCAAATTTAATCAACTTGTCCTTGGGCAATGTCGGTTAGCCCCACAAATTTTCGTATTACGTTTGATATTTTTAAGTTATCATACTGACTGACAGACATACACACACACACTCCTCCTGGAGTAGGTAAAATACACTAGCTTTAAATAATGTAGAAAACTTACTCTTCGTTGATAGACGTTACATTTAATGAGTGGAAGAGTTTTCTAGGCTGGAATGAAGATCTAACCTGTAAATGTAAGAAGTACATATAGTAAGTCGAGATCATGCAGTAGTAGTTCTTGCTTCCATGGATATTATTGGCTTATGCCTGGTTTGCAAATCATTCATAATGCAAACTGATCGGTATAGAGAAGAGGCGAATGAAAGTGAGTCATGCTTTAGAAATGACAGTATTTTTTATTACTCAACCCTTGAGTTGTTTTCTTTTTCATTTACTCAGCCTTTTAATCATTTAAAATTTTGCTTACCCAACCCTTTTCTGTTAGGTGACACCTCCCCTCCCCCCACCCCATAAATAATGACCGTTCTCTAAATTGCACCAAATAACCAAATGTGCATGTATGCATGCATTGTACTAGAGATAAGCTTTTCTCTTGGAAGCTGACAATTTTGTTAGACCGATTGCCTCCCTTCTTCTCTCTGGCTACACAATATTATTGGCCAAAATTTCACATACAGTACCTTTTCACAAACCATTTCCTCTAAGTTTGGTAATTGTACTGTCGGCAAAATTACTTCAAACGAATATGTCTGCACTAAAGTGACAGAAAGCTGTTATAAATTCGATGACTTAACTGGGTTTCCATACGTAAATCACACGAGTACTTCTTTAACAATGTTTCGGGATACATGTATATCTTTAAGAATAGCTTTATTGTTTCGTGTCGTTTGAAAGAGTAGACAAACGATTTTCGTACCTGGACGTATATTAAAGCCCATGTACACGAAGCAATTTTTGCTGCAACTTGCAACGCAATTTTTGACATACTGTAGAGTCATGTTATCTAAAGAGTAGTCGTGAGGAAATTGTGAACATGGCGCACGGTTTACTCTGGCAACATTTTTAATTCCATTTTTTTCATTTTAATCCCTATAAAGAGCATGTTGTATGGTGAAAGTGTCAGCAGAGTAGGATGCGATCTAGGCCCGCAATTTCTCTGTGACTCATGGCTCATTTTATAGCCGGCGTACCTCAAGTGCCAAACGTAATTGACAAATTAGATACGACAGAATAGCGACGTAATGAATAAGTTAAGTGCAGCAGAATTTGGAAAGGCGAAAGTTCGGCGGAGATTCGGCATTATATTATAGGGCGTTGGGACGATACCGATTCATACGGCTCTCCACTCATGTGCCAAACTGAGATAACACAAATTATATGATTAGATTACAGTAACCATCTTGCAATTTAAAATGTTGTAAATTGTTTTGAATTTTATTTAGGATCCACGCGGGAATGCGCCACACCCTTGTCAATATAAAATTTTATTATCCACGAGCCGACGGCGCGAAGCGCCGTGCTTGGGTACTAATTCCCCCCGCGGCTATTTACACCCGGGGAAACGAAAGCATTAGCCAAGTCTAAAGTTCATCAATGAGCGCGGGCGTGGGTTACCGTGAGTGGTTCGGTGGGTGGCAGTGAACTCTAATAAGACTGGAACGATAACTCGGCCGCCATCTTTGAAGCTAAATTGAAGGCTGCCATTGGAGGTACGGCGGCAAAAATACACCTCTTCGAAAAACTCGGATTTATGCCTTTCTAGCTATGCTAGAACATAGATAAAAAACTTAAAAACATCTACGATACTTGGACTATTGCACAAATCATGTTTGGAAGCCGTAGAAAAGACTTAATGTTATTTTTTGTGTACCTGAAAGTCGTATTTTGTTCGGCACGGAAAATATTTTGTTATTTTCTTGAATACAAAAATGGTTCCTTACGAGATTTTGCTGTTAGTGGATGTAGAACTATCCAGAAAACCAAGTTTGAATCTTTGAAATTGAAATCTTCGGACGGAAAACCTAATTTTTCGGCGTATTTTTGCTAAAAAACAAAATTACGAGGAATTGAACTCTCCCCAGTTCTTTTTTGAAAGTCACAGCGCGCGAACTTCTCCCGGACGCCAAATCACAAATCGCAAATCACTAAAAATAAACAAGCACTAAAAATAAACAACTATACCTAGAATTTAATACAAAAAAGGTATTGATCCGTAGATTTATGTTGTAAAGTGGTTTTTTTAGTTAAAGAGCAAATTCGGCACGTTCAACTAGTGTCGTTTTTATGAAAACAAACCTGATACCCTTCAAACTTTCGCTGTTGTGAGATGCAAAGCAGTTCTAACTATCAAATAAATCGTATTTGGGTTTTTAAAATTGAAGTCTTTTGATGAAAAACGACCTTTCTTGCTCATTTTCGTCGAAAATAAACTTTGACGAATTTCCCACTCCTCGAAACTCTCCCTAGTCCTTTTAAAAGTGCAATTTCCTCGTACGGTTGGCTTTAGGCAAGTATGGGCATGTTTACCTCAGTTATCGTTCCAGTCTTATTAGAGTTCACTGGTGGGTGGTCATCCTCACTGATCTCAAAAATATGGCAGACTGTCATGAATAGCGGACACTGATTGGTCCAATTTAAAGTTTGCATTATACCGACTGCATGAAGACAGCGAAATAGCAAATATTTCTTGATTTGATCACAGAGTAGAGATTTGATGATTGATAAATTTCTTGCGAATATATTTCATTTTTGCTCGCATTTTTGCAAGATTTTGTAAATTTCAAAAGCTTTCTCAGAAAGAAAGGGCGAAAAAATCAGCTAAAAGAATGGAGCCGACGTTAACGAAGGTAACTTTGTTTTAAATATTGATTTCATAATTGGTTTAAAACCCGGCGGCCTTTGGCCCTGTGCGTATATGAAACAACTAAACAAGACAGCATATAATTTCAGTGTATTATTAAAATTGATTCCCTTTTTTATTATATTGAATTTTTTAAATAAAAAAGAAAGCAAAGTGTGGTATTCACGTGATCATCACACCCTGTGAACGATGGTATTGAGTGTATACGTGTAGTATATAGAATAGGTTCTTATGTATGTAAAGTAAACACATGAACAAAACTACAAGACTCTGTCTTTATATCACTGGCGACGAGGATTGAGAAACTCAAACGAAACTAAGAGGACTGGAAAAGTAATTCAGTATATATCAACACAGAAATACGAAGAATTACAGCCGGACCGAGCGTGTATTCAACGGTAAACGGAAATTATTGACGCTATAAACTTGTCTTTACTCAGATATTTACCTCGATTAATATGGCCACGAAAGGACCAAAGCTTAAAATCCTTCCATTTGATCCACATGGAGACAGGCTAGATTTAGGCAGACGTTGGGAGAAATGGCTGGAAAGATTTGAGCGAGATCTCAAGTACAATGGCTGCGACCCTAACGAAGCAGAAAAGAGCGAAACAGCACAAATGGCATTGTTGATTCACGCGGGAATACAAGTAGAGGATATCCATGACTCCCTGCCTTCCCCCACCAGACCGTCAAGCGTTTCCAACGAACAGTGGACGGAGTATCGACAATCGAAGGAAAAATTAAACCAATATTTTCTCCCTCAAAAGTCAAATGACTTTGCTTTATTCGAGCTCATTCGAGTGAAACCGGAAGAAGGCGAAAGGACTGGGAACTATGCAGCAAGACTAAGGAAAGCGGCCGAAAAATGTGACTTTGCGAACTGACGGCAGACAAAATGATAAAATATCTTATCATAAGTAACCTACATGACGACCAGCTACGATTGACATGTTTGCAAAAGGAGCTGACACTTGACCAGTTACTGGAAAAAGCACAAAAGAGAGATGCCATGGCCATGAATGAGGTCATGCACAAAAAAGACGGGGAGAAAGAGAAGTTAAATAGAGTGAAGCAACGATATCCATTTAAAGGTCCACACACACGGAAGGAAGGTCGACCAGAAAAAGGCAAGAACGAAAGCAAAGGCAGAGACGAAGAGCAATGCTTGCGCTGTGGTAGTCGACGACACAAAACGAGAGCGGAATGCCCAGCCCGAGGGAAGAAGTGTGACTTTTGCAAGAAAACAGGACATTTTGCTAAGGTTTGTTTTGAAAAGTTGGTAAACAATATTAAAGAAAAGCCCACTCAGAGTGATACCGATGAGAGCGATTATGACGAGCAGGTAGCAAAGGTCGCAGAAAGGGATCCAGTGCACTTGACAAACAACGCCAACGTCGAGTATGGGCAAGCTACAACAAACGACCAGATTTTTAAGGTGGGAATACGCCCGGCTCTGGTCAAAGCCAAAATGGATGGTCGCGAGTTGACATGGCAACCGGACACAGGTGCCACAAGAGGCATCATGGACGAACGACACCTACGAGAATATGAGAAAGAGGTGGGAAGAAAAGTGACCCTTTCCCCATCTCCTGTTAAGTTGTTCGCGTATGGCAGCAATCGAAGCCTTGAACTGGTTGGCCAATTCCAAGCAGTACTACGAGCCGGTGAAAAGAGCCTGGAAACTACCATCGTCGTTACAAAGGAGGCGTCATCTTACCCACTCTTGTCGGAAAATTCATTACGAAAGCTCGGGCTTGTCCAGTACAACGAGAAATTCCTTGTCCAACAAATTGACGAAAAAAGAGACCTTGCAGAAATATCGCAGAAAGTGCGCCCCAACGTAAGAGAAATCTTGGAGAAACACAGCGAAGTATTCAGTCCAAATATCGGGAAAGCTGTAGGCAGACAAGCGACCATAATGACGGATGAGACGGTGACTCCAGTTGTCCAAAAGCCAAGACGTGTACCATACAATCTTGCAGCCAAAGCAGAAGAAAAGATCGCATACTTGTTAAATCAGGACATCATAGAGAAAGTACCAGACGACGAAACGCGTACCTGGGTCAGCCCAACAGTTATCGCGCCGAAACCAAGTTCGGATCAGATTCGCCTATGTGTAGATATTAGGATGGCAAACAAGGTTATTCTCCGCTCATACACTCAACTACCTACGATGGAAGACGTGATCAACAAGTTTCAGGGCGCGAAGAAGTTCTCTAAATTGGACTTGCGCGAGGCGTATCACCAGTTTGAGCTTGCCACAGAATCACGCAAAATAACGACCTTCTACGGACCAGACGGATTGTATCGTTATAAAAGATTGAATTATGGTACAAAATCGGCGCAAGACATCCTACAAAACGAAATGCGAAATATCCTCGCGGGTATACCTCACAAAATCAACATCGCAGATGACATCCTGATAGCTGGGTCTATGAAGGAACACGACCATGCGCTGGAACTTGTCCTCACAAGATTACAGGACAACGGCATGACGGTCAACACAAAGAAATTCCAGCTCGACGTTGAAGAAACAACATTTTTAACAAGAAAGACATTCAACTCGACCCGACCAAAGTAGAAGCCCTCCACTTCGCAGGTCCACCAAAGAGTAAGGAAGAGCTCCGATCACTTTTGGGCACGGCAGGGTTCAGCGAGCGATTTATCCCCAACTATGCCAAAGTTACGGCGCCCCTCCGAGAACTGTTGAAAGAAGGTACATGGGACTGGGACGAGCAACATCAATGTGCCTTTGAAGAGCTACAACAAGCCTTACAAGAACACACACTATTACAAACCATACGAGATTGGTCGAGAAACGCGACTGGTGGTGGATGCAAGCCTTGGTGGTCTTGGAGCTGTTCTGTTGCAGAAAAGATCGACGGCTGAAGGTTTCCGCCTGGTGGTATTCAAATCACGAAGTCTTAGTCCGCCCGAATCCAACTATTCAACTACCGAGAGAGAGGCGCTAGCAATCCGATGGGGGATCAAGAAGCTGAGAAAATACCTCTTGGGAGCACAACAATTCAAAGTGATTACAGATCACAAACCGCTGCAAGCGATGTTCAACAAAACCGCAGGTGATTTACCGCCAAGCATCGAGAAGTTTATTATGGACGTCCAGGAATACGTGTACGTTGTAGAATACCATCCCGGGAAGACCAACATCGCTGATTACTTATCAAGGCACCCACAAACATATGCTATTTCAAGCAGCATCCAGGCAGCCGACGAATTTGCCCGGACCGTAGTTCAAGCGGAAAGAGTTATGTTAAATGGCAGAAGAAGTTAAACACGACCTGCATATCATAGACGGAGTAATTTATCGCAAGAAACGATTGATCGTACCTGAAACCCTACAGCGCCGAGTTATCGCATTAGGGCACGAGGGTCATCAGGGAACTATTAGCAAAACAAAATCTTTCATCCGGCAATCCTGCTGGTTTCCTGGCCTTGATGCCAAAGTGGAACGCCAAATCAAAGAGTGCGTTGCGTGCCGAGCAACGCAACCAAGTCGATACCACGAGCCTATTAAAGCATCGGAATTACCGAAGGGACCTTGGCAATTTGTCGAAATGGATTTTCAAGGGCCATACCCTAATGGGGAATACATATTCGTGATGATCGACAGATACAGTCACTGGCCTGAAATAGCATTCTTCAGGCAACCACCAACGGCAACATCTACCATCAACGTGATGCAAAGCATATTCGCTAATAAAGGAATACCGGCGGTATGTCAGTCAGATAATGGTCAGCCTTTTCAATCAGCAGAGATTAAATCATTTGCGTCGAAACAAGGATTCGTTCTAAAACATATAACACCGGAGTGGCCACGAGCAAACGGAACCGTAGAACGATTCAACAGATGCATGAAAGAAGCCATACAGGCCGGCCACGTCGAAGGGAAACCAATGCGATGCAGCCACGACTTTCCTCCAGTCCTACCGAGCTAGTCCACATACGACAACAAAGAAGAGCCCATTTGCAGCTATGCACGGGGGACGAGAGATGCGAACAAAATTACCAATGGAGACATACTGTGATGACATCGTCGACCGAGAACATGTGGTAAACACTAAAGCTAAAATGGTTTCCAGAGACACGGGTGCCAAGGAACACCGTTTAAAAGTCGGAGATCAAGTTGTTGTGATGCAGAAAAAACTAACAACTGTGTTTAACCCAACACCGCTAACAGTTACAAACATAAAAGGATCAATGATTAGTTGATTACGGCAAACAAAAATGAATGGTCAATAACAAGGGATGCTTCAAAGTTTCGTAAGTTATTTGGGAGACTACCCCAAAGTAGTAAAAAGGACGGCGAGGAGATATACGAGGCGGAAAATGACACAAACGAGCAATCGGACCAAGAGGAAGACGAGGAAGACGAAGAGTATAACGAAGATGATATCGAGCAAGATAACGAAGGAGCAAACGATGATACTGTAGAACCACCAATGGCAAGGCCGGAACGCGAAAGACAGCCGCCAGCTTGGCTCAGAGACTATGAAACATAAAGGACTCAGAGAGTTGGACAGTCTTGAAACAAATATGATTATTCATTGATATTAGGTTTGTTGCTATTTAATATAGGACATATAGTAAACGGAACATACTAAGTACTTTAAAGTATGGGAGGGTGTGGTATTCACGTGATCATCACACCCTATGAACAATGGTATTGAGTGGACACGTGTAGTATATAGAATAGGTTCTTATGTATGTAAAGTAAACACATGAACAAAACTACAAGACTCTGTCTTTTTATCACAAAGTTATTTGCATGCGAGAATTTGAAATCATTATATTGCAAACTCAAAGTTTATCGATAAAGCCATTGGATTATTAAAGGCAGTTAGTTTTATAAAGAACACTTTAATTTAAAACGTTTTGCGAAGCGTTTGTAGTTGAATTTTATCTTAAATTGAAGCTTATATTACGTATAATAACATACCTAACATATATATGTTGGGAAATTAATAATTTTGTAATTAAAAGTGATATTTTTAGGCGATTTTTCATTGGTAAGAATATTCTTAAAAAATATCGTGTTACCATGACAACAACTTTAAATACTTCATGTTCGGAAAATACAATGGTTTTGTCAGCAAGGCGAGGGTTTCTGCATGCATGTATTTTCTAGTATGGATAATGGTGTTTTATTGGAAACTAAAACACTCGTAGAATTCATACGTCACTACATCCGGGACCAGGTGCGCGTATTTTCCGTATTTCATCCCTGCTAGTGACATACGAAGTTCGAAAATTTCCCGCCATTTTCATTGTTGTTTTGAAAATACAAATGGTCTTTGGTTCGTATTTTTAACGAAATTAACGCTGGAAATAAAACGAAAACATTTAAAAGACATCTTGAGATAAGTTTATTTTATGTTTGTTTACTATAATTTTAAAAAATATCGCTTTTATACTTGTCCTTTGCGTGCTTATTTACATGTCGCCTTTGTGTGTATTTTTGTCACTCTGAATATAAGCAGAACATTATTATAAAACGGTTGGGAGAAGATATGGATTTATGTTCTCGTGTCAGATATCCCGGTTTCGGTGTACGGGTACGAGTAGTGTCATCTTGTTTTACTGATGTCTGTAATTCGATCATACTTTTTCTGTTTTCTTGCAATAGACAATGATATAATGCGAAAAATGTGCACCTTAATTACGAGTAAAGGTACAGACATCGACGAAAATATTGCTAACCAAAATCATGCTACTCGTACCCGTACACCGAAACCGGGGTATCTTAACCTCTCTAATATCTCGAACATAAAATCCATATCCCCTCGCAACCGTCTAATATCCTATATATATTTTGTACGCCGCTTGAATCACTGCCGTTCTTGTATCGCTCCAGCGTCGCAGTATCGCACGTTTAGTACATGAAAAGTACGCCGTCTGAGACGGGTCCCTATTTCAGAAATTGTGATGCAATTTGCTGCAAAAGTTGCCTCGTGCAACAAAGTTGTCTCGTGCAACATGGTTTAAAGGTACGGGTAAATAAGTCAAGATTTTGTAGGTATCTCACTCGATTCAATAGTTGAAGGGTGTTGTTGATGGAAATGATCGTGTGGAAATTTATATACTAAATTACATTTATTAGACCTGACCAGGAACAACTGCGAAAAATGCAACTTTAGGTCTCTGACAGGAATTGAAACTGCGGCCATGCTATCGATGCAGGTAAATTTGCAAAATAGTTAAATTATGTTCGTACTTGTAACAGAGTCGTAGTTTTTCTCACAGGGGCGGCAGAATATGGGGAGCTAAGCCCCCCCCCCAAAAAAAAAATAGCCCGTGACAGTAAAATAGTAAATACGAAGATTCTTGATCGCTGCGTAAAAGGCAAAAATGAAATAAAATTAAGTCGCACATATGTGTTTTGGTTAAAAAGCGTGAGCTTTTTCCATCACCAAGTGTTCAACTATGCTAATGTTCCGGCGATTTTGCCCCCACCGAAACAAATTATGAAGTGAGTTTTGTCGTCCAAATTCTTCAACCCGTTGCCAGAAGTTTTTCTAATTTTTCTGGGGAAGCATGGCCGCCTCCTAGTTTTCAGCCCTCCTATAACTTTAATTATTATATACACAAGGTCTGGATATGAGGTATTCTGCAATCTGATTGGTTCTCTACTAGCAGGATATTAGCTCATATCCTGCTAGTAGAGAAAAACAAAATGGCGGCCAAACTGAATTTACGATGCTTTGCAAACGAGAAAACGGCAAGTTGTCGCTTTTTATAGCCTTCACGGGATTAAAAACACAATGAAAAACTCCCACAAATTGTTTTCAGGTTAGCAAATAAATTTTTAATATTTAAAATGGTTAAAAATATATATTTTTGAAAAAATAATCGGCCGAAAGAGCGAAGATAAAAACATAAACAAAATAGAAAAATATTGAAAATATTCGAAAAGCGAAGTCTGTGAATTCAGACCTTGTGTATATAATAAAACAGTTATTCCACTCACTTTCGTCGAATATGAGCGATAGCCGATTCGGCGCTACGCGCCTCATCGGCTATCAGCTCATATTCGACTCGAGTTCGTAGAATAACTGTTAAATATCTTCCTACGCTACTGGTGTGATGCACCTGCATGTTATGTTTGCACCTAGCTGAATGACAAGTGACAACTACGGTTCACAACTTCGCTGAAAATTAACCCTCCCCCCCTCAAAAAAAAAAAACCGTTCCGTCTCCAGTGTTTTCTTATTAACTGTAATTCTATTTGGTTTACAAGTCCAGAGTATACATGTGACGTAACCTCGGAAATTTGAATGGTTCGACGTAAATGTAATTTAACCAATATACTATACTTACATTTCTCAAGATTAAAATGGAAGATTTGAAGTTGTTCTCCAACTGTATTACTTGCAGTACATGAGAAATAATCCGCACTAGTGGGTGCTTTTGTAAAAGATCCATCAATACTCAAAGTTCCATTACTTAGAACACGGTATGTGCCTGTGAACCCCTTAAAATCCACATAATTTTCCAAAAGCTTTGATGTAACACTGCCATTGCTGGGAGCGAGGATATCTTTACCAATTTTCCACCGTACGGTAGGTTTAGGATACCCTGCTGATGAACAGTCAACATTCAAATGAACCAAAGTGTTTTCAATCACTGATATAACGGTAGCGTTGTTAGAGAACCTTGGTCCTAAAAAGGAAAACAAGCTTAAGTATACAGCAATAAAACATGGTTACGACTAAATAAACACGCTGTTGATAGCAAAACTACGCGTTATGTGTTAGCAGATGTAGGAATTTTTTTCAGTTAATGTTCTAACATTCTATTTTGTTTACAAACCTTGCGCGGTATTAATCTTTAATATGCACACTGCGCGTTATAATAATGTTTAATCGGCACGCTATTTAACCAATCAGAATCGAGTAAATTGACTAAAATGATATTAAGATTAAAACAAAATAGATCAATTAATACCTTTCGTAAACTGAACACGGTAATTTTTCCCATCAGTTGCACTTGAAATGTTAACCATACACGTCACATTGAACACACCAAACACACCCAGCACAGGGTTGCTTATAATCAATGTTGAATTAGGAGCGGATTGAAAATTTGTATACCCATTTGTTAGTTCATTTAATGCAATTCCATTTATTTTCCAAATGACAGACTCGTTCTGAACATTGCAATGTAACGTGAAGTTCTTGCCTTCGGATACTATGATGTTGTCTGTGAAATTGAGCACTAAAATATAATTAAATTAAAAATTCGGTAATTAACACATTACGTTTTGCATTGCTACTTAATGCGCTCTACGATATTTAGATCATCTGCGTCGTCATATTATTGATATTTATATTATCCTTTCGTATTTGTTTCTGTTACAATTGAAGACAAACTTTTACTATTAAGGTAATTCCGCAGTTTTGCATTGCGCACTTTTACTGCGCACATCTTATAACTTATAATTTCATCCATTATACGTACCGTTTAAAAAAAATCATTTTATGACAATTTTATGTTACTTAAAACATCTTTGGTTACATATTCGTGCAAAGAATTACGTTAAAATCAATGTTTTCAAAAAAGACATACAAAAGTGTAGCTAGGGTTCCTGTGTCTGTAGTATATTTATGTACTTGTATTTCATGTTTTAATGCCACATTTCCTTAAAACGATCGGTGACCCCCGTTTTTTAACTGATAATTTATTTCTTTAATGCATTTTACATTTGATATCCGAAATTAAAAGAAAAATCATTTCTGGATCTTGAAAAAAATAAATTTATCAATGCATGTTCTCAAAGAAAGATATGTAAAAAAATGTGGAAAAGACATTTGTGGATCAGAATTGCATGTACACGTTAGTAGTTTCATTTTGCTCAAAACACAATATTTTTCCCAAGATAATTACAAGATAGGTTTACTAAAGCAAAATCCGCGCTAAAAACGTCAATAAATATCGGGCTGTTGTGAATTTGCTGTTACTCGTAATGAGCGTCAAGATGGCGCCATATTGGGGTAAAGGTGGTATATTGTGATTGTCATATCTTCTTAACGAGTTCGATGACCCCGACTTTTTTTGTGTGATTTTACTTTAAGTATATCATAAACTCCATGCCTGGGAAGTTTCAACACATTCTCATTTCGGGAACAATTATTGCGGAATTACCTTAATAATAATATACATATAAAAATTGATTGATTGATTGGATTGATTGATTGATTGCAGTTAATCCCAAACAGCAGTGCAAAAAAGCTGTAACAAACTGATTTGATTGATGGAAAAAACAATGGGAAGATAAAATCAACCAATCAGCTCAAAGCAGTCCTTATTAAGTAACGGTCAGAGATTGGTTCAAAACAAAACAAACATGGCGCCGCGCTACATAAAGTAAAAGATATGTTCCGGTGAAAAATATGGTTTTTATCTTTTTTCTTAAATGGAAAAGACAAAACCTTAAACGAAACTTACATAGTAGAGTAAGATTTTCAAGCCCGATTAGCGTTGTATTAGAAAATACATGCATGCAGAAACCCTCGCCTTGCTGACAAAACCATTGTATTTTCCCAACATGAAGTATCTAAAGTAGTTGTCATGATAACACGATAATTTTTTAAGAATATTCTTACAAATGAAAAATCGCCTAAAAATATCACTTTTAATTACAAAATTATTAATTTCCCAACATACATATATCAGGTATGTTATTATACGTAATATAATAACATACCTGCAGAACTGAGACACTCGTCTCTCACTTTACCACGATTTAAATCTCTGCTGTTAGACTACTTCAAAACTGCCTTATACCTAAATTATCAACCTCAAAATCCTCGGACATGGAAGTCTATCTGCTTAAAGTATAACACTGCTCGTAGTCTTGCTGCTCCACTCTCTTGCTGCTATTAGTGTCTCATAGTTATTGAAATATAAACATGATTAGGAAGGTTGTAAGTTTTAATTTTATGTTCTGTCTAAATTTGGATAGATTTGTGTCAATTTGTGCACGTTCAGGTTCTTTACTGTTTTGATCTATTTTTCGAAGTTGTCAGGTCTTCCTAGCCTTGTTTATTATGTTTCAATAGCTATTTTATATTCAATGAATTGTTATATCTTTTATAAAATTTGCAAGCAGCTATTTAAGTATGTTTGTGAAATACAATACAACGAAAACTTCGAGGAATTTGTTTGCTTGGTTTCAATTCGTGTGATAACTTTGAACAGGTAAATCGAAGTTTTCGTTGTGTTTTATTTGTGTTTTATTATCTATTTAAAATTAAAGGGCCCACAGTAATTGGTACCTTACTGTTGTGGTGACCCTGCCATGAATGCATGATAATGGCGAAGTTAAATAAATAAATAAGCCTCAATTTAAGGTAAAATTCAACCACGAACGCTTCGCAGAACGTTTTAAAGTCACTAGTGTTCTTTATAAAACTAAACTGCCTTTTAAAATGACTTTATCGATAAACTTTGAGTTTGCAATAAAATTATTTCAAATTCTCGCTTGCAAATAACTTTGCTTTCTTTTTTATTTAAAAAATTCAATGTCATGAAAAAGGGAATCAATATTAAAGATACATTGAAATTATATGCTGTCTTGTTTAGTTGTTTCATATACGCAAAGGCCGTCGGGTTTTAAAGCCATTATAAAATCAATATTTAAAACAAACTTACCTTCGTTAACGTCGGCTCCCTTCTTTTAGCCGATTCTTTCGTAGTTTCTTTCTGAGAGAGCTTTTGAAATTTACAAATTCTTGCAAAAATGCGAGCAAAAATGAAATATATTTGCAAGAAATTTATCAATCATCAAATCAAGAAATGTTTGCTACTTCGCTGTCGTCATGCAGTCGTTATAATGCAAACTTTAAATTGGACCAATCAGTGTCCGCTATTCATGACAGTCCGCCATATTTTTGAGATCAGTGAGGATGACCACCCACCCCAACATCGTTGGTAACCCACGCCCGCGATAATTGATGAACTTTAGACTTCGCTAATGCTTTCGTTTCCCCGGGTGTAAATAGCCGGGGGGGATTAGTACCCTAGCCTCGCACGGCGCTTCGCGCCGTCGGCTCGGGGATAATGTGATATCGATAAAAACAAAGCAGGAAAACTTTGTCAGTGGACGGTTCGCTGTATGCAAACATAAGTTAAAACTTCTATTATCTCGAACATTTTTGTGTACTATTTGAAACATGAGCATGCAACTAGCAGTCTTTTATCAGATATAAAGATGGTGAAGCCGAGTATCTTTAGGTCTGATAAAATACGCACTGCGAATGTTTTAAATTGTTTAAAAAACGATCGATCTAGGCTAGTAAGTTCACTGGCGAAGTAGTTTTCAAAAACTACGTTGTGTAAATCGAGAAAATCAAAGTTAAATTTAATATGTAAATCAAGGGAAATCTCTACCACGACACGCTTATGATTTTTCTTTGTGTTTTCCTTATGAATTATTAATGAGTTTTTGAAGTATATTATTTTAAAATACGTATATAGTAGGATTGATTGTGGTTTTTCGCGCAATTTGGATAAAACATACACGAGTGAGTTTTTCAAAGAGCATCAAAGTGCTATTTTGAGGTCTTTGAAAAACTCACTCGTGCATGTTTTATCCTAATTTCACTCGAAACCATCCTATTACCTATACAAACTGCATTGGTTTAATACATACAAAATCCTGTTTCAAATATTTTTCAATGATAGTTGCTGTATACATGTTTTTCAGATTGAAACAATTTATTATTAGTTAACTACAAAAGTGAACATGCTGCGAACAGTCATATAGTTTCGTTTTCTCATTTGTGGCTCTCATAAGTCTCACATAAGAATTCTAATAAAAATTTTGCTAAGTGAGCGAGCAATTATGCGCATGTTTGTACCCCTTTTCGTGTATTTCTCGTCATGACCAATTAGAAGGAACTATAAGTCTTATGAAAAGTGCATGCTACAGATGTTCCTTCGTTATAAGCATTACTTACAGTAGGAACACTCGAACAGTGAAAATAAGATCAACGCTTCACCAACAACTCTGATTGAGATAATTGCTTTCATTTCATAAAAACCTGGACAAATAGAAAACAGAAAATCGAAAATTACTTTCATGAAACCATAATAAGCACTGATATAATATGGGAAAGAGAAAACATAAAGAATGAGAGATTTGTGTCACATTGAAAGGCACCCAGATGCATTCACCTCCTCTTCAGACGTAAAAACGCACACTTTGTAACAAACATGCATCAGACTTGTACCAATATTGCCTTTAACAACTTGTCATCAAATCTGCTTGTTTCCAGCTTGTCGTCAAGGGTTTCTGACAAATTGGCACTAGCCTTTTGACTCAACAAATGCATGTGTTTCCAGTTGTCCTAACAATTTGTTGTTGTCCTGTAATCCAATAACTTGTTAACAAGTTGTGGGTGACATTCCCGTAGCGACTTGAGAAACTAACAACATTGGCAAACTTGCGAACACATCTTGTTACAATAAGTGAGGTTGTTGAGGTTTTCTATTGAACTTTAAAAACTGAGTTATATTATCCATGGAAAATAAAGTTAGTTTCAGTTAGTTCAGCGAAGCATGTGGGACATAAGTTTAACAATATGCATAACCACATAGTGTGGCGGATATGTGCATGGATGTTTCCGAAGAGGGTTAAAAGCACCAAATTGTGCACAGTAGCATCTTTTTATGAGTAGAACAACATGCAAAAGTGGGGCCATCGTGAAACCGTTTTTTTTAGAGATTTACGATGCTATTAGCATCATTTGCTATTAAATTCTACTACAACAAAAAATGTGAAATTTTGAATTCAATCGCGACAAATATAACTTGCATCATCAGAAAGCTTGTAAAAAAACTACATAAAAAGACTTTTAAACAGTTTTTTTATTCTTCAAATGGTTATTGCTGTAAATTAGGCACATTATCTCGCTAAAAGTCCCTAATTCATTATTCGACGTTTGAAAATGCGTTTTTAACAGTTTATAATTCGAAAACTATTTCAGAAATAAAAAAACTGTCTAAACGTCTTATATGAAGTTTTTTATAAGCTTTCTGATGATGCAAGTCATATTTGTTGCAATTGAGTACAAAATTTCACATTTTTTTTGCTATAATAGAATTCAATAGAAGATAATCACTAATCACCCGTTTTCAGGAGTTAGCAGCAAAATAGCGATGGCCCCACTTCAAATATCTATTAAGCAAATAAAACTACATCAATTGTAAAAGTTTGATGCTTTTAACCTCAACGGCCGAACAACTGATCAATAATTTTACACATATCCGCCTCACTAACAGTAGAAAACTACTAGAATTTATCAATTTAACGAGGTATGGCAATAAAAGTTTAGTTTTTCTCATTTGAAAGGACTTTTAATGTTATATGGAAAACTTATTTTATAGCTTCTTTAAATTTTGTTTAGTTCAAGAAACATTTTGATCGAAATAATCATATAAATTGATGAGAAGTCCGCCATCTTTGACTATTAGTGAGTTTGCATGGGAAATACAAGGAGACGTCAATAAAGACGTGCTCATCCACCATAGCATTCAGCCCGGGATGAATTTCAACCCGGTTAACCGAGCTGAAATTGTTTCACGATCACATGGCAAAGTTCAGTCCGGGATTTCAGTTCAAACCGAGGTGAAAACTCAGCCTGGGCTGAAACGATCAAATCTCAAAATGGAGCTATTGCGCTTCTTCGAATAATTTAAAATGTTGTTCATGTTTATTATATGACTTCTGCGGTTGCATTTAAAAATAGAACAGAGAGAAATAAAGTCACTTAAACGCTATTTTTTTCTTCAACCTGAGTTGGAATTTCCCGTCGATTATACGGCGATTTTCAGCCCGATCAACCGGGGTGAAATTTTCAGCCCGGGTATAGCTTCAACTGAAACTCATCCCGGGCTGAAATTTCTGTCATGTAATCGTTTTCTGTGCTTTAATAGGATTTTATCCTTAGGCCGGGTTGAAATTCAGCCCGTGGCCTGAAAACTCTCCATGTAATGAGCCCCTAACAGTACCAAAAGTTAAAACATTCGATGTCGTTTGGGGTGCTTATGTGAATTCACCAATACTATTGCTACCTATAAGGGTTGTTGTAAAGAGGTATAGGTATTTTTAGGAGGCAAATATAAAGTCCCGATGCAGAGTGCGTCGTTTGGATGAATTGGATTTTTTTAATACTATTTCCTTGTTTCCATGACGTTGCAGCCCCAGACATCTCGAGTTTTCCTGTCTCGCCTCACGTCTGCTTAAATATATTATGCAGCATAGAATGGTGATTTTAAAATGAATTAAAAACACAGGACGCCACCTACAGGCACATGCATGTAGAT